TACGCCAAATGATTTGTTTAAGTTTTAATTTTCATCTCTATCATACCTCTCTAACTTTGAAAATAAATTTTTTTTAAGCTGCGAAATGGGATCTTCAACCTCTGAAACACTCCTTTTCTTTACCGTCCTAATTGGAACCTTTTTATCATTTAAAGAATTTGTCTTTGAAGTATGAGGTTATATTTACGGAAGCTTTGTTGCCATAATATTTTGAAATTTAGTTATAAGATTTAGATATTTATTACTCTTTCAGTTGAATTTTGTTATATCACTTCTTTATTAAAAGAAATTAACGAATTCATTCAAACTATATAAATTCATATATAACCATCAGAAAAACAACTCATTAATCCTCATTATAAACATTTAATGTTTATTATATCATTTTTTAATTAGACTTTTTTTATTCTTACATATTACTGCTTATTCTTAATCAATCATATTATAATTGATTTATATTTACAATTTTCTTTTTATTAATCTACTATTAAATCCCTTTTAAAAAAACAAAAATTTTTTAAAATAAAATAAATAATTACATATTATTTTATGATAAAAACCTGAATAAAAATTTTTTTTGCTTAAAATATTTAATAAAAAATCAAAATTACAAAATTACAAATTTGTATTAAAAAGTATTAAATACTATTAATAAATCTTTCTTAATTAAGACAAATTTAATTAAAATAATATTTTTTACATAATATTAAGTGATAAATTTGAAAGCATAGAGCATGATTATAATCCAGTAATTAAACTAGATCCTCCTTAAAAAGCTTTTGAACTTTCACTTATTATAAAAAAAATGATGTGAATAGAAAATTATGATGATAAATTAAAAGTTTAAAATTATTTATAAATATTTTATTTAAATAAATCAAAAGTAAAGTACAAAAATTATAATTTAGTTTAAAGTATAATGGAATAATTTTTAAATACAAAATATTTACTGAGGATCTAAATTTAAATATTTAATACATTTTTTAAGTATCCTACCTATAAGTTCAGACCCTCTTCATCTATTTTATAGTTACTTTTGATATTTTAATATTATTAATTTGAAAAAGGAATATTAAAATAAAAAGCTAAAGAAATAATCAACTTCTAAAATTTAAAAATTACAAGCAAAAATTATTATTTATTTTATTAAAAATATATTAATTAGTGAAATTGTTGCTAAAATATTGAAGGAAGAGTATTATAAATTTATAAAATTAATTTTTTATTAAACTTATTATTTTTATATCAAACTAAAATACAAAAATTTAATTATCCTATAAAAACAATCAATAGCATTAAATTTTAAGTATTATTTTTAATTTTGATAGTCTTAATGTCTTTTTAATTTAAGCCTCTAATTTGAGTTTATTCAGATTGTTTATTTGATTTTAGCTTTTGTTAAAAAAAAAAATTATTTTTGTTTGATTTATTTTAAGCAAATCTATCAATTAAATTAATTGATTAATTAATTTCATTTACTTTAGATCTATCATTAAGTTTGTAATGGATTTGCTTTTTGATATTTAGTTGCACATCATATATGCTCCTTTATTTCCAGTATTACAAGAGCTATATATTAAACAGAAAATTTTGTAAAAAATGAAATTATTTTAAAAAATTTATTAAAAGTAAATATTGATATGATAAATTTTTTATTATTTTAAAAAGAAATTAAAAATAAAATTTACTGCAAATAAATAGCCAGTTCTTTAAGATTTTAAAATTTAGATAAGTTGCTGCCAAGGGTAATAGCTCCTTACTCCCCTATATTATTTCCACTTTTAAATGTGTAAAAAATCATTTTAATATTTAAAGAGAGTTTAAAAAAAATAAAATTTGAAATTTTTTCATATTTATCCTTGTAGATTGACAGAAATAAAAACAGAAAAACGCCATTTATTACTTTATAAACAAAACCAAAACTTATAGATTTTTGCAGTTGATCAAAGCAGTACTAAAGTCGATAATGCCCTGAGACTTTATACAGTTTTACCTTTTAAAGTTAATGATATTTTTTAATGGCAAGTTAAAAAATTAAATCCAAATTAAATAGTAATTCTACCCTAAATATATATTCAAGCTTTATAGTTTCGGCATTCTAGAGAGCTAAATACCTAAATCAGATATTCCTTATGCAAATAGATTATTTCCACTAATTATATTTTAATGATTAAGTTATTTATTTAATAGTGAATTTTTTATATTAGAAAATCAATTAAGTTCTAAAAAAAGATATTTACCATAGTTTTAAAGTTAGATTTTTTATGCTTTTGTTATTTGCTAATTTAGATCCCAAAATTTGTATGCCTTAGATACCAATTAAATTCCAGCTGTAAATAAATCATAAATTTATTAAAAGAAACATTAGAAAATTTTTTGGATAATTTAATGAAAATCTTAAAAAATAAAGCTTATTGCTTAACTTATTTTAGTATTTTTCTTAATATTTCTTTATTTCAAAAATGCTTAACAAAAATAAGCTTCATTAAATTTTCAATTATTTTTTACTCTAAATTAAGTACCAAGTTATCCAAATAATTGCAATTTGACAGATATCCGCTTAAGTCAATTACTCCTTATTCGCCTAGCTTATTCTAGCTTTTAGTTTATGAAAAAAGTATTTATTTTAAGATAGGAATTTATTTTTTGTTTTGTTGATTGATATAATTTTATATTAATAAAGTGTAAGTCAGAATCATTTTTCGCTGACTTGTTAATTTGTACGAAATATCTAATTAACTTTATATTTTTAAAAGAAAATATCGCATTTTAATTAAATTTAAAAAATTTGTTTTTTTTAAATTGATATAATTTATATTTTCTATTTACTTATTTACTGAATGATATATGACATTCTATTAACCATAAATTTAATTAAAGTGTGATTTTTCCAAACGGATTTAATTCCACAATTGGAACTAACCAAAGATTACAACATTGCTTTGTATATTAATATTACAGTCATTTGTTGATGAATTTACAATTATTAAAAGATGAAATAAAATAAATGATCAATAGGGTTTAGTTTAAAGCTATTTGATCTTATTATTTGGATTATAGTTGTGAGCTTACAATTATTTAAGATTTAAATCTTATAAGTTAATTTATGTTAATTAATAATGAAAAAATTTATGTTAAGTTACAATAAAAAAATTTATGTTAAAGATTAAATGAAAATCCAATTATCTTACTTAAAATCTAAATATAACTGTGAGAAATCTACAACAAAAGAATCTAATAACTATTTTTAAGGTGTTGAGTTAAAACAAGCTCATTTTTAAGTGAATTTTACAGATTTTATTTGATTAAAAGAGAATCTCATTTTTATGCTTCTTTTAATTTATTTGATTTTTATGATTAAATAAAGATTATATTGATTGAGTTAATATCTTTGAATTATAAGTACTTAAGCAAATCAAATAAAATTTGAAATATTAATAATTCTTCTAACAAAATAATGCATACAATTTTTTTAAATAGTATATAATTTATTTCTTTTACAATAATTAGCTATTTTGAAAGTCAAAAAAATAAATGGAATTAATTTAATTAATAAATATATTAAGTAATTAAATGGCATAATATTTCAAAATACTTTAAACAAATAAATAAATTTTAAAGGAAAGAAAATTAAAATAAATATTTTATTTATTAATTGCAATATAAATTAGATAAAGCTCATTCATTGGACATTATTAATTTGGTTAAATCTTTGTAGTAATTGTTCTAATTTGTCTTAAACATCTTAATTTTAATCATTATTAGTTGTGGTATTATTATGAGTTTCATTGTTGACTGTGTTAATGTTGAATTAATTTAATTTTTTAAGTCTCTCTTCGTTTCTTTAATTTATTTTTTCAATATCGAAGTTGTTTGTGTTATAAGTGTTATTATTATTATATGTTATGTTATTATTGTCATTTTTGAGCATTCCACTGGCTCTAAAATTGAGTTCGCTTGCTTAAAAGTTAGCTTCACTTGGATTTTATTCTATTTTTGCCTTAGAACCTAGTCCATTGCTGAATCCCTTTTTGTTATTTACTGAAAAATCAGGAAAATCGCTTCCAAGATTGTAGCCTTCTTGCTCAACATTAGTCTTGTATGTGTTGGATTAGTTTATCTATTTTTATTACTTTTGTTGTTCAAATGCTTTGGAATCTCCCAAAATACCTCTTGCAGCTGAGCCAAAAGGGTTATTTTACTCCTTTCCAGTTCTTCTCATACCTTAATTGGAACCTACTCTGCTAGGCGGCTTTTAGGCGTATACATTTTAGTTAAATCCAATTTAAGGGTTGTAAGAGTTTCCTTCGTTTTGATTTTCGTTATTAATTTTGTTTGTTTCTTTAATTTGCCTAGGATTTTGTTAATAAAAACTCTACTATGTAGCAAACTAGTCACCCATATTATTATTCTTTTGCATTATTTTGTCAATATCTTTCATTATATCACTATTAATTGAAGGAATATCATATTTTAAGTGATTATCTTTACTTGCTAAATCATTAGATGATCTATTATACGATTAAGGGCGTCTAGCAAATCCACTATTGTTGTTCAGATTTAGATTCTAAGCAGAAATATGGTTTTGTTGCTAAACATTAATCTAAGAGCCATTTACACCATAATTTCCTAATTTAGACATAGTTATCTAAGAATCTTTGACTTAATCAAGAATATCTAAAGGAATAAACTTGTTGTTACTCACCAAAGATTTCATACCATATTAGTGCATTTTGAATTCATATTCTTTCTTAGCTTTTTCTGCTAACAAATTATCATCGAATTATTTAGGGTTAGAGTCTAACTCTATGTTATTATTTGTTGGTATATTATTTAATGTACCTAATCTGTTATTAATATTATTATTATTTTTATTTATTTATTAATTTGTGCTGTAAGAAGGAGGTTCCTGATATTTGACAATATTTATTTGTGGTTATGAAGCTGCTCCTAAATTTGCTGAGTCAATCCTGTTTCCAAAAGTTTGATTCTTTTATTTATTATTCTATTGATCATTACTAAATGGTTTAACAGCCTCTGTTTAAATTTCATCAGCGTGAAATTAATATTTAGAAGGAGCCTCATACTTTTCTCCTTGAGTTGTTGGAGTGATGAAATCTAGTTCTTTTTTTAGTTATTAGTGAGGCTTATTACTTGGATGATATTTGCTAAGAGCATCTTACAGCTACTGTTAATATTTCTTTTCTTCTTATTACTTTTGTTCGTATAATTTTTTGAGTTCTAAATATTTTTGTTCAGCTTTATTCCTCTCATCAATGGCAACATTAGCTTAGCTTTTTATCAAATCAATTTGATGCTACTGCTATTACATCTGCAATTTTAATTCATAAAGTTAAGGTAAAATATCTGCTTATTACTTCGCTAAGAATTATTATTATTAAATCAATTAAGGATTCATCATCATGGGTGCCATTTAAGGAGCAAAAGGCATAGGAGGATACTATCCCATCATAAATTAATTTCCATACATCATAGGAGGTTATTGCATTTATTGTTACATATAAGGATTAGGTTATTGCATCATATTATTGGGGAACATTTATTGTTGTTGTTATTATTATTGACTCATAGGAGTCATTACATTATTCTATGGAGTTTAAACCATCGAACCTTATCCTGCTAAATTTTGATTTGATTTCTTTCGATGAAATTCCATAAGACTAGCCCTAGGATCAATTCCTTCACTGATTTTTTCATCATTTAAAAATTGCTTTGAAACAAAATTTATAGGAAGTACAACGTTCTCTTTTAAATTAACATAAAATAATATCAAATATAAAAGATTAGTTTAAAAATTGAAAGTTATTTTTTAAGATTAAAAGCCAAATTTAATTCCAAAAAAGAAATATAACTTAATCTCATCTTATAAAGTTTATTTTTTTATTTTCAATTAAATGATATTTTTTAACTATTTGATCAAAGTTTTTGAATAAAATATTATAAAATAACAAATTTTTAAAAATACCTTCAGCTTTAATCTTTGCTCCGCTGCCATTAGCAGCAAATCCATCATTTTATCTTTTGTTTTTCAATTTTTGTTCTCTTAATTATTCATTCTCTTTTTAAAGATTTTCCTGTTGTTACTTTTTTTAATTCGTTTCTTCGTCTATTTTTCTTTTTAATTCTTCTTATTCCTTTTAAATTCTTTTTTCTTCTTCAAGTTCTTCTCTTTTTATTCTTTCTTCTTCTTATTTCTTTTTCATAGCTTATTCTTGTCTTTACTTTTCTAACTCTCTTTTGTATTCTAGCATCTGCTATTATTTTCTATTAACTTCCCCTAAATCTGCATTCTCAGCTTTCATAAAGTTTCTGTTTCCTCTAACTGCGCTAACTTGGTCCCCATTACTTTATTTAAATCCAGACTAGTTTTATTAAAAACCTTCTTATTTAGAAGGGATAGACTAACCTGCTCCAACATTTTGAGCATGCTAGTTATACTATTGGCTATTATTTTAGAATCCTTCTTAAAACCCTTAATTTAATTAAGGTGTAGATGCAATATTTTGCTACTGGTGATGATAATTTATTGGCTGAATAGGTTACCTTTATTAAGAAATTTAATTTGGTTATTCATATTAATTTAAAGGCATCCCTTCTTAATTCTAGATTTAACTCATAGAAGGCATTGCAGCAGGTTAGTTATACATATTATTGATATTTTTCCTAGCAAAATTAGTTCTATTTACAGGCAATTAATTTCTATAAAAAAAAAAAACATTTTTAAATTAAAATTTTTAAAAGTAAAATTTTCAAACAAAATTTAAATATTTAAAAAACATAAAAAGATAAATTTTAATTATTTATTTACTGTGCAAAGCCTGGTGGCTAAGAATTTTAAATTTCCATTTACTGTTGCAATAAAGCCTTTTTATCAACCTACTAATTGTTATTTTGATTCTTGTTTTGCATCTTTATTTTTATAAAAATATTACAAAAAGCAATAAATAATTTTTTTTTTTACTTAGTTCATCAAAAATTAGCGATATTCTTGCTTTTAGTTAGCATTATTTGGCTGGTTATCAAACTACATTCCTCCATAAAATTATTATGCTGGTATTTGATTGTTATACTATTATTAATTGAATGTCGGAGCTATTGCTTATTAATTTTGAATCTATTGTTACTGTTAAGACTGTTCCTTCATTTTCATTTATTCTTGTAATTATAATCTATATTATTCCTTTCTTTCTCTTTCTTGCTCTTACATTTTTTGCATTTCTAATTTCTTCCTCTCTTCTTCCATCTTTTATCTTTCCATTTCCTTTGATTGCCTTTCTCTCTCCTATTAAATTTGCTTTTCAGCCATCTTTTTTAAATATAATTTTAAAAGACCTTAGCAAGCCTAAAATAGCATTTAAAAAATATATTTTTTACTTACTATTGCAAGATGTTATTATATTACTATTTTTGCATTTTTTAATCATTAATTGCTTATTTTTCTAATTAGCCTTCATTTTATTAGTTACTCATTTGCATATTTGCATTTTATACTTCTATTGCCTAATTGACAACCTATGCTTATATAAATTGCTTCTTGTTATTTCTCATATTTACTTCTTATTGCTATCCTTGTTATTGTTATTGGTTTGCATGGAAACTATTTTAAACGGGTATCATCTAATCCTATCCAAAATTTTGTTAAAAATTTCTTGAAGGTTCAACAAAATTGATATCTTGTTTTATCTATGTTTGGGGAGCAAAATTTTAGTTGACATTATTTTATTGCTAGAATCCCTCATTAGCTTCCCAATTGTCTGCCTTTTTAACTTATCCTCTAAATCCATTATTAGATGGAGGAGGAACTTCATTGAAATTGTTTGGAGGAAATTGCTATTGTTCTGCAGGAAATTCTTTTCCAGCATCACCTTCTCGCTACCCTAAAGGAATTAAAATATTTGAAAAATTATTAATAAAAAGAGATAAAGCTTAAGAATGTATTCATTTACTTTTTAATCTCTCTTCTCTTTCTTTCTTCTTTCTTTCGTATTAAAGATCTCTCTTGCTTTTCTCGCTCATAATTTGCTTGTAATAATGAACTAAACCTATATTTCAAAGATTATCTATAACTAATTAATTTTTTTTATTAATTTAAAGATTGATTCACCACCGATCGATACATGCATAGATAGATTAATAGATCAATTATTAAATGAATGAATGTATGTGTGTATTAATTAATTGCTGAACTAAGTTTTAAATGTTATAATTTTTACATTTCAACTTCAAATTTTTTGAAAAATATGATAAATAATACTCAAAATAAATTTAAGCAGCTTAAATTGTAAAAATTCGAATGAAATTAAAAAAAATAATTATAAATTGAAACAAATTACTTCAAAAATTTAAAATCAATTTAAAGAAAAAAGATTTAATTAATTTAATTGATTTTTAAAAATATTAGAGAATATAAACAAAATGCATCTTCACATGTTTTCTGTATTTTTGATACTATTGCTTTATTTTTGAGTTGTAGACTATGGTCTCTTTTTCTTTTTATTATTAATTACACTATTTATAACTGCTAACTACTCTTTTAAAACAATTGTTAATTCCATTGTTTTAAGAAGAACCCCTTTTAATTCATTATGTCTAGCTTAAATATTTATTTTTCCTCTATTATTTGTGTCTAAATTTTTATTAAATTATTGTAAATATTTTTTTTAAATTATTTGACAAAATAATTCAAAATAAAAATAAACTAATAAATATCTTTTTAAATTTATCTAAATTAAAATGTTTTGTTAATTAAAATCTTTAAGTATTTTAAAGCAAGATTAGGATCAAAGATTTAATTTATTTGCCTTATTTTATTCTAGCTTATTTTTAATTCATAGCTCACAATTAAAAATTATAATTAAATTTAATATTAAAATTTAAAAATTAGAAATATTTTTTAAGTCGAAATAGTAAAAATATAAAATTTAATTTATTAATATTTTACCAGATGTCTGCTGAAACTCTTCTTTGGATTATTTATTAAATTCTTTTGGTTTAGACTTTTTATTTTCACTTAAGACTTCCCATATTCTTAAATTTCTAGTTTCATTATATTTGTTTTTGAGAGCATTATATTCTCTTTGAAATTCTTCTAATGTCATCGAGGTTTTATACTTATCTAATTCATAGATGTGCACTTTAAGATCTCCTTGCTATATTTTTTATTTATAGATATTAAATAAAGTTTGGCTTATAAACTTATAATAAATTTTTTGTTACAGCACTACGATAAGCTCTATAAGTAACTTTGCTGTTGAGTTATTAACTGAGTTCATTTGCTTCACCCATCTTAATGAGCATCTCATATTCATACTCATTTCTTCCTTTACTGATTGTTAATTTTAGTAATCTATCTATTTCTTTTTCTCTTTCTTTATGCTTTTATAAGTAGTATTTAGATTTATTAGGAGCAAGAGCCTTTGGGATTTCTCTAAAATTATGCAAACAAAAATAACCATTTTGAATTTATTTTTTGATGAAAATTTACATTTATTCTTATTCCTTAGCAACCTTTAGATTATGCTACGAAATTGAGCTAATTGGACGTTTTTGCTATGGATTAATACTGCTTGCTGGTCTTATATTAAATTGCTATTTCCTAAACTATTTCTTAGCGTTGTTTTTAGAATTATCTGCTTTTTCTTGAGTCTTTTACTTCAAAAATTCAGTCATAACTCCTGTTAATTATAAATGATAAGAATATTTTAACAAATTTCTACAACAAGATATTGATTCCAATTCAATTAATTAATAATCGCATCCTTTAAAATCAAACTAACTAACAAATAAATTAACATACAAAAAAAGTTATCTTTTTTACCCTCATCATTTTTCCAAAATGGTATTTATTAACACAGTTATTGAAAAGTAATGTAATTGTTATCGTCACATAAATATTTCATTAGAACTTGCTTCTCTCTCTCATCAAATTTAATTGCTTTCTTCTTGCAAAAATCAAAAAATTAGTCTGGAAGTACTTAAGTTTAAGTACTGTCCCAAAATGTTTCTAGTGATATTTATTCTCTTCCAATATATTTCTGCAATCTCAAAAGAGGATCTTATCCATCTTACTCTCCATAATAATTATTTTCACTATCTCTATTTTACCCATAATCCTCATGATCATCATCATGCTCATCTTCGTTTCCTCTTTATCTAAATATTGCAAATTTTATATTAGCAATGTCATAAAACTTTTTAACTCACTGATAAACTCGAATTTAAATGCTTTTTAGTATTATTATTAATTATTTACCCATATCCTCTTGAGTATAGCTTGTTAGAATATTGCCCCTATTTAATACATATTTAAATTTTTAAAATTGATAATTTGCGTAGAAAATTAAGTTTTACTTGATCTTCATAATCATCAGGATCGTTCATATTACCCTATTTAAATACCATGTAAAATTTTATAATTTTTAAAAAAGCTATGCTATTAAAAATCATGTTGCAAATTAATATTGTACTCTTTAATAATCTTGTCTATTCATTTTTATTTATATTTTGCTAATGATAAATGTTAATCTTTCTCTTTGATTTTCAATTTCGTGTCAACCAATTTGCTATCCTTTCTATTTATAATATATATATTTACACTGTTTATAGTTAATTAATTTTTTAATCAAAATTCTTTTTCACAATGAAGTTATGAAAATTTTAAAAAGATAATTATTGCTATAGCTAATTTGTTTAAAATAATGCATAATATCTCTCTAATTTAAATATTTAATTTCACATAAAATAAAAAATACTAGTTTATTAAAAATATCTTCATCTTAGTTAATATATTACACAACAAATAAGAATTTTTATTTCTTTTTTAATTAAATAAAAGAAAAGAATAGAACCACAAAATAGAAAACATAAATTTTTTCTTAAAAAAAAAGTGTTTAAAAAAAAAAAAATCACCCACCGAGGGGCTCGAACCCTCGACCACCAGCTTAAAAGGCTGGCGCTCTACCGACTGAGCTAGACGGGTTTGATAGAATACATAATTTGTTTTAAATTAATCAAAAGTAAATTTTAAATTAAAAAATGCAACTAATTATTTCAAAACTAATTTTAATTTAAATATTTTTAATATTTTATCAAAGAAACATTAAAATTTAAATAAATAAAATTTAGATGTTAAATCAAAATTATTATTTTTCAAAAAAATTTTTATTATTATTCATTAAATTAATTATAGTTAATGGTTTAATGATTGCTAAAAATAAAAACATAATTAAAAGTTGAAAAATATAAAAAATTCATTTTTTAATTAGCAAAAATATATTTATTTATAATAAGATTAAATAATATTCATTCATTTTTATGTTTTTTATCAATATAATTTAATTTCTAGTTTAACTAATCTTTTGATTTTTAAAGCTTTATTAATATGATAAAATTTATCCTCTTTCTATTAACAAGACCTTTATTTTAATTAATTAAATAAGAAAATAATGGTTAATAAATGTAGCTAAAGAGTTTATTTAGAAGCTTTAATTTTAATTTTAGACCAATTATCTAGTCTAATTGCTAAAATTTCTATATATCTCCAAAAAACTCTTTAAATTTTATATAAAAAATAATAAATACGTAAGGTCAATTATTAGTTCTTTTAAACTTTTAGAATTAAGCATCATATTTGATTTTAGTAATTTTTCTCTCTCACTAATTTTAATATTATAATTAAAAATATATTAATTTGAATGGTAATTATACCTGAAATAACATTCTAGTAAAGATAAGGTGCTTAAATTACTAAAAGTTTCATCCAATTTTTGATATCCTTAATCAGTTATATTATTTTCACTTTTTTAATTAAAATGTAAAAAATTTTCAAAAAATTAAAATTGTTTATACAAAAGCATTGAAATTCAGAATAAAAGTTACTAAAACAAGCAACTAAAAAAAATTGCATAAATGAGAAAAAATTTAATACTAAGAAAAGGAATTATAATAAAATTTACGTTAAACATATGATAAGCTTAGAGAGACTTTTACAATTGCTTAGGCCTTAAGAAATAGCGATCACTCCTTCATCACCAAAGTTATTTTATCTTTTATTTAAAAAATTTTTAATTAAAATCACTTTCTTTCATTTTGAAGTAAATTCTTGTAAGAATTTTGTTTATATAATTAAAATATGTATTTATACTTTAAAAGTAACTTTAATTTCTGAATCAGCAGGCAGTTGCCAATGCTTTATCCAATAATAGATGCTCCTGTATCTTAAATTTAATTTTCTCTTTTAGATAATAAAATAAAAAATTTAGGGGGTTATTATAAATAGAGTTAATAAAAGTTACGATAAAAACAATCCTAAATGTTTTAAATTTTTGCATTAGCTTAAACCATTTGCTATAGCAACTGCACCTTCATAGCCAATTAAATTTTTGCTATATTTGAATACAATTTTTGAAATAAATATTTTGTCATTAATTAATAAATCCTATTTGCATCGTAGAATATATTAATAGATTAAATTTACGATAAGTATAGCTATAGATTTTATAACTAGGAACATTTATTTAAAGTAGTTTCAATACCAGATGCTCCCTTCATTCCAATAAGGTTATCTCTTAAATAAATATGAATTGTTAATAATTTATTATACTTAATTATTAATAATAATTATTTTTTAAATCAATAGTCTCCAAAATAATTTTTTTTACAGCATTTTTTAAATAAATATTGGCTAATTAAAAAGAATTGAATTTCTTAATTTCAAATTTTTTAATAATTAAATTCAAATTATAATCTAAAAAATATCATCAAAAATAATAAGTAAAATATATTATGGTCTTAGAGATTTTATGATAATTAATTTTAGTAATTAAATTTACGTAAAAGATAAGTCTAAATTTATGAGATTTTTGCAGTTACCTAAACCTATTCCAATATCATAGGCTCCTTCATCTCCTATTTTATTTTCTCTTTTTAAAAATAATAAAATTTAATTAATTTTTATTTAAAAAAGTCTTTACCTTAAATACAATTTAATATCTGTTAGTAGAGTGCATTTACTCAAACCTAATCCAATACTTGAAGCACCGTTAGAGCCAATTTAATTTTTTCTTTTTTATGTAAATTAATTTTATGATATGCTTTAACTGATGAAAAATATAATTTTACGTCAAAAATATTTCTAAATTTTGTAGATTTATGCATTTGCTTAAGCCAGCTCCGATAGCATGAGCTCCTGCATCACTAATAACATAAAGGCTTTTAAATAAAATATTTTTAAATTAAAAGCTATGATAATATTAATTAAATAACTAATTCTTAATAGCATTTTTAAAATAAAAATTATCCTTTTTACCACAAATAAAGCTCTAAAGTTATAATGTTTGTTAAGTTACTTAAACCTATCCCTAAATAGGAAATTCCTTTATCGCCAAAGTGATTGTCTCTTTTTTTAATCGATAAAATAATTTATTTAAAATATAGCTTATCAATTAATTATATTCCATATTAAGAAAATAATTGAGTTTTTCTTACGTTAAATACAAATATACATTTGTAAGTAGAGGGAGTTTACATAAAGCTATTCCTATACTTGATGCTCCCCTATCACCAATTTAATTCTCTCTTTTTATAAAAAATTATTAACCTGATAAAAGCTAAACACATTTATTTTTTTGATAATTAAAATTAATTTTAATTTTTGATAATTTGAATTATTAAAAATTTAATTTTACGTTAAATCTAATTTTAATTCACTCAAATTTTAGCAATTATTCAATCCTTAACTTATGGAATCTGCTCCTTCATCTTTAATTTTGTTTTCACTATTTCAAAAATAATAATTCATAAATTACATGTTTTTTTAACTTTTGAATATTAATTAAATCAGCAATTTTTATTTAATTTTGCAAAAACAAATTTATTTTTTATTTTTTTAAAATTAAAAAATCTTTTGCTAATTTTAACTTTTTACTCAAATATAAAAAAACTCAAAGTAAAAAAAATTTTTTTCTTTATTTTTCATAAAAAAAATTAAAGCAGTTTAGTTACCAAAATCCAAATATGATATTTGTTATTTAAGTACAACAACCTAAACCTTTACCAATACTTGAAGCTCCTCTATCACCGATTTCGTTTGTGCTATTATATAGAATAATTTGATTGTTTTTATTTTTGAAAATACAAGATACTGACTGGCAAAATAATTTATTTAATCCACGTATTAAAAAAGAATAAACGAATCAAATAATTTTAAATAATTTAATATAAGTCTAAAAAATTTACTATAAGTATAATGTTAAACTTTTCAAATTTATGCAGTTTTTTAAGCCTAATCCGATATTATATGCTCCCTCATCGCCAATTTGATTTTCACTTTATTTATAGTAGAATAAATCATTAAATAAATATATGTTAAAATTTAATGATAAATTTAAAACTAATAAATATTATTTTATCTAACTAATAGAGTAAGTAAAAATTATTTAATTAATTACGATAGCTACAACATTAAGGTTGTAATCTGAGTGCAGTTTGCCAAACCAATTCCAATACTTGATGCTCCTAAATCAGTGATATTATTTATGCTTTTTAATTAATTAATATTTCTAATTCCATAAATAAAAGTTATTGATAATTAATTAGTAAAAATGTAATCAAATTAAAAAATATGAAATTATTTATAGATTAAAAAATCAATAAAATCTACTATAATTATAATTCTAATTCTTTTAGGTTATTTAAGTTCCTTAAACACTCACCTAAAGCACATGCTCCATCATCATTTAATTAATTACTCCTAAATTTACAAATAAATAATTTACTCATAGCTAATAATTTTTATTCTCAAATCAAATGAACATTAATATTAAAAATTTTGTAAAATATGAATTAATTTTTTTTATTTAATCAATTTGTTTAATTTGTTTGTCTATTTATTTATCTATTAACTAATAAAATTTAATTAAACTTTGAAATAAAATTGAATACAATTTTCTTTATTTTATTAGTCTTTAAAAATAATTTATTTGAGTGATAAATTGATTAAATAAGCAAATAAATTATAGTTTGTACCCCATTTCAATATTTAAGTTAGTCAGCTGGTCTCTCAAATTTAACAAGTATATCTTGAGAGCAAATAATGAATACCCCTCAATATTGTTTTTTCTTTATTAATACATAAGTTATAAAAAAAGATTAATTAAAATATGTTTAAATTTGATAAAAGAGCTCAAAAATTATTTGGTTAATCATACCTCTAATAAAATAAAAAAATCACTTATTTTATTTTTTGTACAAGTAATCACAAACATTATTTTTATTTAAACAAATATAATTTTTTACGGTAAATGAAAGCACAGCGTATTTAAGCTTTTAAAATGAGGTAGAATTTCAACTAATTTTTTAAATTGGAAATCTTAAATATCTTAACTCCTAATTATTTATTACATTTAAATTTATTTTGAATTTTTTTTTTGTTATTCTAAAATAATTTACTCTAAATTTAGTTTGAGGCTTTGAATTCCTGAAAACTTAGTTAAACGATATTTTAGCAAAGATAGGTTATTAAAAGAACTATTACTATATAATTAAAAAAGACTATTGCAAAAATAAGTTAAATTTTATAAAATAAATAAATTTTTAAAATTAAATAAAAGTGGATTTAGGTTTTATTTTTATTACTTTGATTTTAAATTGAAATTAATAAATTTAATACCTTAGTTTCAATCTAAGATGGCTTAGTTCTTCTAAGTTGCTTTTTAAGAGCTATTAAATTTTAGTTAATAATATTTAAAATAAAAAGCTATTAAAGCAAAAAAAAATATATATACATCATCTAAATTATTAAAGGATTAATTCTATTATTACATTTATTTTTTACTTACCAAATTAATTAATTACTATTTATATATTATCTAATTATTAATTTATAGTTTATAAAAAATTTACAATAAATTAAATTTGATTATTAAGGAACAATTCACAAGAATTCTTATATAAATATAGATTAAATTATTTATTTTTATAAATAATTTTTAAAGAATTATTTAGCAATTTAAAATAATATATAAAAAAGCTAAAATTTTTGTAAACTTAAATTTTATTTTCAAAATTTACTTAAAAATTATAAACCATTTTAGCTTTTAAAAAATATCCTATTGTAAATTTCAATTTATTTATCAAATTAAATTATTAGGGATTTACTGTATGTATGTATGTATTTTTAAAATAATATAAATAAATGAATAAATTCTTGAGAATAAAAGTTGAAAGAACTATATTAAATAAAATTGTTTTTATTATTTTGATTTAAATAATATAAGCAACAAAACATATTTTAATTAATTAAAAAATTGTTTTAATTTATTTATTCTTTTAAATCAGCTTAATTAAATTATAAGATCAACTAATCTTATGATTTTGAGTGCATTTTTCTTATGCCATACCTATTCTTATTCTCTGCAAAATCTATTTTTAAAAGTAATATAATTAGTAAAAATATGAAATGAGAAAAGAACGAAAAATATAGTTTGTTTAAATTATATTAATAAAAAAATAAAAATCTAGTTTATCACTAAATTAAATATATTTATATTTCAATATAAAGCAGAATTAACATTAAAATAATATTTTTATTACTCTAGATTTAGCTTTAGAGTCTTTATATTTCTACAGTTAATCATGTATCTTGATTTTAGTAATTATTCTCTTTTACTAAAATTTTATTAGAAAGCTTAATACATATTAGTTAGATGTAAAATTTACCTTAGTAGGCATTTTAAAAAAGTTAATTTTTTTAAAGAACTCAAACATTCGTCTAAATTGAGGTATCCTTATTTAGTTATTTTATTTTCTCTATTTTTATATATAAAATTATTCAATAAATAACTCCAAAAAAAATATTATTTTTATTTTTGGTATTTTAATTTAAAATATTTATCAAGTAAAATTAGATTTAATATAAATTAATAATATCAATTTTTCATTTTTGTTTTAAATTTTTAAATCATTTAAAAAAAACGGATATTTTATATCAATTTTAAAATTTAAAAAAGATTTTGTATTCGATTCAAATGGAGTGTCTCTGGATAAGAAGATTATTTAAAATAAATAAAATTTACGATATATCTAAATTTAGACTTTAGAGATTGCTGCAATGACTTAAGTTTTATCCAAAACCAATAATTCCTTTATCGTCAATTTAATTCATCCTTTTATATAATAATTTGAATTTGTTTGTTTAGAAAATATGAGAATTTTTTCCATTTATAGAAAATTAAATAAATAAATATTTATCAGTTATTCAAATAAAGTCTGAATGAATTTTAGAATATTTTTTACGGTAGTGAAATTTTTAAATTTTTAAGCTGACTGCATTAGCTCAATCCTTTTGCTATATCAATTAGTCCTTAATTTTAAATTTAATTATCCCTTTTATTTTGGATTTTTAAATTGTTTTTAATTTAAGTATATATCATTAATTTATAAATAATCATTTAAAATTCTTTAAAAATTTAATTTACTCTAAACAAAATTAAAAATCTATTATTTTAGAGAAGTTCATCAAACAATTCCCTACACTAGATATTCCTTAATCACCAATTTAGTTTCCGCTTGTTTATAAATAATTTAGCTTTAAATCTAATGAGTATGTATGAGCTTTATTTAATTATTTTGAAAAAGTAAATTCAATTTAGTTACTGCATATATAACTTTAATTAGTTAAGATTTTTGCAATTCCTTAGACCTTTACAAAGGTCTACTATTCCTTCATCCGTTATATTGTTATCACTATGACAAATAATCCAAATAAATAAATAAATATATGTATATTTACTGGATAATTTAAAGTATTAATTTATGTAGTAATAATTAATTAATTATTGGTTTAATAAAAGAAAAAAATTAGAGACTTAGTTAATTAATTATTAAATAGGATGTCCTAAATAAAGACCTTAAAAAATAATTATTTTTATTGAATTGATTTAATATTCTAAAAATCCCTCCCTCCTATTTTATTTCATTTATTTTTAAAATAGACAATAATTTTTTTAAAATAAACTTTATTATTATAAATTAAGTAATATCTTCAAATAAATAAGTGTAAAAAAAATTACTAAAAACCCAAATCTAGAGTAGTAAGTTTAGTTAATTTTTTCAAGCAACTTTGGATGCCAGATGCCCCTTTACTTCCAGTATTGTTCTAACTTTTAAATTGAATGACCAATAAAAATAATATTTTGCAAATTGTTTTATTAGTTAAAATTTATTTATTTTTTTATAGCTTAACTAACTAACTATCTTTGAATAAATATTTACGATAAATCTAACTTTAATGATTCTAGATGTTAACAGTTGCTTAAACCTTCGCTAATGGCACTTGAACCTTCACCACCAATTTAATTTTAGCTTAATAAATTATTATGATATAAAAATTTAATGAAAATTTATTAAATAAACAAAAAAAAAATACTAAAATGAAAAATTAAATAACATTTTGAATTAAAAATTTTATTACTATAAATAGATTTATAAAGAGGCCATGAGAGTACATTAACTTAAACCTGTTCCAATACAGGAACCTCCTAGAAAACCAATTTTATTTGAACTTTTTAAAATAAAATAGTTTTTTAAGAATTTCAACTTTTATAATAAATTTTCATTGATTTATTTTATTGATCATATTTAATATAAATAAAAAACTAATATTTATTATTTGTAAGAAAAATTTAATCATTTATTTTACCTCAAATCTAATTGTAATTACTAAAGCATTTTACAATACCCTAAACTTAAACCAATAGTACATGCCCCTTCATCGCTGATTTAATTTTAACTTTTTGTTTAAAAAAAATTAATTTAAGACAATTTAAATAAATCAAAAAACATAAATTTTAGTAAAACTAAAAAAATTTAATTATCTTTAATTAGGATAAACAATTAATTAATTAATTCTACTTTACCCTAAATTAAGATTCATATTTGTAACTCTAGTCAATTTGCTCAAAGCCACTCCAATGCTTTATGCACCTTTATTACTAATTTAATTTTCCCTTTTTAAAATAATTTTTGATCCATTAACAGAGTTTAAATTTATGATCTTAAAAATAAATTTTTTAGTGATTTATTTATTGATTTTTTAATTTAATTATTTAAAATTTTTCAACTTTAAAATAAACTGATATATAATTTACATTAAGCATAAATTTAAATAATTCAAAAATATGCAGTTATTTAGACCTTTGCCTATTTCATATGAACCTTAGTCACCAATTTTATTCTAACTATTTACATAAAAAATGTTTAATAAAATACTTATTTTTTTGATGTAAAAAAATTATTTATTATTGAAATTATAATAGATTAAATTATAAATTAATTATAATTCATTTAAAAAAAATATATATATATATAAATCAGATTTTTTAATAAATAAATAAATAAAAAAATATATTTCATAATATGTCATTATGAAATTTTTGTATGGCATCTGGCTATAATTAAAGATATTATAAATATTCCAAAATTACAGAGCTAAAACAGAAAAATCTACTGATAAATTATTTTTATTATATTTAAGAACATTAACTACAAGGTTTTTTTCAAATATGACTAAATAAATAACTGGCCATCTCTAATTCCTACTATATTTTAAATTATATGTTTTAAATACAAATATTAAGTTTAAATAGTGAAAGTTAAATCAATTTGATGTGATATCTCATCATAGAACCAAATATATAAATTAATATTTGATAATTAATTAATTGTTATATTTATTTGTTCTTTTTATCCTTTTATAATTAATTAATTAATTAAATTTCATAAATTGCTATTCAATATTTTTGAAAAAAAAAATAAATGATATAATAGATTAAAAAGTATAATAATCTCGAAAAAGTAATTATTAATTTTTTTATTAATATCCTTTAAATTTATAAAAATTAATAAAAAAAGTTTAAAAGCTCTTCACTTTTATCTCATTAGGTTCTCCATATTGATCTGAGGTATATTTAATTAAAAGATACTATTTTTATTATTATTGATATTTTTGTATATTTAATAATCAATTTATTTAAATAAACAATTTTTATAAACAAAATTATCATCATTATTTATTGATTTTTGTTAAAACTAAAATTTTTTAGCTATTTTAACTTAATTTTCATTTCAATTTTTAATTATTTATTATTCATTTTTTATTATTTGATATTTTTTCTTCATTTTATGCTATTAAAACTTACACTTAATAAAAGCTATTTATTTGTTTTAGATTGTAAAATTTTTAATTATAAAAGTTAATTTAAAACATTATAGTTCTTTTAATTTATTCAATTTGTTTTCTTTATTCTTTTTATTATGATTTCTTATTTTTTCATTCTTTGTTAATTTTATTAATTATTAATTAATCTTATCATCTTTTTCTTCATTTATTCCTCCAAATTAACTTGAGTGAAATACCTATTTAATTTATATCATAATAAAATTATTAATAAAGCTAATTTTTAGAAATCATAACATATCTTTTTTTTTGAAAAAATAAATTTTGAAAACCTATGATGGAAAAAAATTCATAAAAAATATTTAAAATTTTAATTTTATAAAATATAAAAACTGGTATATAAAACTCCCTTTTTGTAAATTTGTATGGTAACTTACTCTATTTAATGATATATTTTTTCTTCAATATTTAAAAAGTTAGGAATAAAATTGGTGATGAAGGTGCATCAGGCTTAGGTTCTGGTTTAGCAAATTGCATTAATCTCTCAAATTTGACACTTAACCTTTAGTAAAAACAGTTTATTTGTTTTGGATTGTGATATTTTTAATTATAAAAACTAATTAAAAACAATAAAGCTCTTTTTTCTTTTTCTTTTTCTTTTTATTGTGCTTGCTTTTTTTTGTTCTTTCATTGTTAATTAAGCTCATCATTTTATTTTCTACTTTTGCTTTTATTATTAATTAATCTTATTATTTCATATTTTTTCCTCATTTTTTCCTTCTAATAAACTATTTAATCATATATTTTTTCTTCAATATTTAAAAAGTTACAATTAAATTGGTGATAAAGGTGCATCAGGCTTAGGTTCTGGTTTAGCAAATTGCATTAATCTCTCAAATTTGACACTTAACCTTTTGTAAAAACAGTTTATTTGTTTTGGATTGTGATATTTTTAATTATAAAAACAAATTAAAAACAATAAAGCTCTTTTTTCTTTTTCTTTTTCTTTTTATTGTGCTTGCTTTTTTTTGTTCTTTCATTGTTAATTAAGCTCATCATTTTATTTTCTACTTTTGCTTTTATTATTAATTAATCTTATTATTTCATATTTTTTCCTCATTTTTTCCTTCTAATAAACTATTTAATCATATATTTTTTCTTCAATATTTAAAAAGTTACAATTAAATTGGTGCAATGGGTGCATCAGGCTTAGGTTCTGGTTTAGCAAATTGCATTAATCTCTCAAATTTGACACTTTACCTTCAGTAAAAACAGTTTATTTGTTTTGGATTGTGATATTTTTAATTATAAAAACTAATTAAAAACAATAAAGCTCTTTTTTCTTTTTCTTTTTCTTTTTATTGTGCTTGCTTTTTTTTGTTCTTTCTTTGTTAATTAAGCTCATCATTTTATTTTCTACTTTTGCTTTTATTATTAATTAATCTTATTATTTCATATTTTTTCCTCATTTTTTCCTTCTAATAAACTATTTAATCATATATTTTTTCTTCAATATTTAAAAAGAAGGAATGAAATTGGTGATGAAGGTGCATCAGGCTTAGGTTCTGGTTTAGCAAATTGCATTAATCTCTCAAATTTGGACACTTAACCTTGAGTAAAAACAGTTTATTTGTTTTGGATTGTGATA